TCAATAAAGAAAAAAGGCACAATGCTTTGAGCCCAGAGGCTTAATTATCATAAAATTCAACATGTAATGTAAAATATTCAAGCAATACATGACTCTCTCACATGGCCATCAACAGAATCTTATGTAGCCATTATCGTATCATTTACAACAATTTGTACTTCTTGCTCCAGAGCTGACTGACCGAAGTGTTTGTGTTAATTGACCTAGTTAGTCAATGTCTCTAAATGTATAATTTCTTTTTAATAGAATGCTCGTATATAAGCCCAGGATTTGACATTTGAAAGGAGGCGCCCTGTACTCCGGGAGTCGAACCTGACATGGGAAATCTCAGAAGGGCATGATGCAGACAGTAGGATTTCCTGGCCAGGAGAGAATTTTGGAGCTCCTTCATTTTACAGTCAGAGACCTTGAGTCTTGGAGATGTGTGATACTTTGTCAGCAGCAGAATAGAAACCAGAAATGATGTGCCGATGGCTGGTGATGAATTTTCTCTTTCTCAAATGTACAGTATCAAGCAAATTCTCTTCTGGTTCTGTTTTTAGGTAATCTTGGTCTGCCTTCCTATCAGTGTAGAGAAGGTGTGAGGGATAATGGCTTTTCCCTTAGGCAGGTCTGTCTGTCAGGCTTTAAAGAGGTCAGGGAGCCTCTGGAGCAGAAGCAGGCATGTCTGGCCTGCCTCTCCTGTGTCTGCCCTTGGCAGAAGTCAGCTGCGAGGGCCCCATGGGGGTCTATCTCTTCTCCATTCTGCCCTCCCCATTATAGGGACGGAAATGTTCAAGAATGTTTGGGATTTAAAAAAAATGACAACAATGTTTTCAGTATGCGAGGCTTGCCTGTGTCAGGGGTCAGCTTGGTGGCTGACCTGCACATGTGGTATTGGAAGCTCAGCACAATTAACTGTGTCCTCGTGAGCAGGCAGGGCGGCCCTGGGGCCTTAGTGGGGAAGAGCAGATAGTGGCGATTGAGCCCCAACCAGAATTGCAGCTCTGCCTGGCCTGCCTGCCGAGGGCCTCCAGAACCCGATGACACGCGCTTCCCTCTCACCATCCGGGGCACTCACCTTTGTGGCATGTGGGCCGGCCCAGCTTGGCCCCTGCAGCCTCCGGGTTGCTGTCAGAGAACCTGGACTTCTTTCCTGTGATATGTTTTCTTTAACCTTCTCTAAGTCCATTGCATCAGTAACAAAGCAGCACACTGGGGACGCCAGCCCGGCACCCAGGGGCATTTGAGTCAGAGGTACAGTGTGGACGGGCTTCCCTACTGACCAGCCTCTCAGGAGGGGAGGGCGTAGCAGGATTCCCCTCGCTGGCTGCACGTGTCCTCCCCCTGCCTTCAGCAGCTACGTCTTGTCTCTCCTACCTTACGATGTTACCTTGTTTGACTTACTCTCTGTTAGTGGGCCACATATTTCTTGTCCTGTCCTTGATCCCTTGGGACACGAAAGCCAAGTCCCAAAGCTGGTATGTAAGCACTTGGTGTAGCCTTTGACCTCTCAGAGAGGGCCGTCAGGCCACCCAGCCTTCTGTCTTCACACCTCAGTCTTCCCCAAGCCCTAGACCTTGCAGCTCCTCCCCCTCACCCAGTTAATTCAGTTTCGTAACTGTATGTCGTTTTCATTAATAAAATAGAGAAGGGAGACAGAGTATCACATGTAGTCACAATTGACCACTCTTTTGTAGAAACTGTTGTATATATGTACATCCCCATATGTGAATGGGGGGAGGGACTCATGATAAATGATAAAAGTTTGAAAAACACTCATCTACTCAGTCCGTCTATAGAAGTAGCTTGGCTCATCAGGTTTCTAACACTCAGATAGTCAATGTTGTAAAAGCCCCTCCTGCTTTCCTAGCCCCAACTGTTGCCCTGGTCTGGTAATAGATTCCGCCTCACCCACCCACTCCCTGTTTTGCAGTCCTGCCTGGGGCCCCCCTTGTATCTAGGGATCCCCCTGCCTCTGCTCTCGAGGACCCCAGTGCCGCAGGCACGGCTGCCACACATGGCAGCTCCAGCTGCTGCTGCCCTCACCTACCCGACACGAAGCGGAGTCCCCCAGTCCTGCACTCCTACCTTGTCCGACACTGTCTGGCGACAGCGGTGCTTGACTCCAGAACTGGCCTTTTTCTCAGTAGCTTTAGCGGCTGACAGTCTAGGGTTCAGATTGGCTACTTGGTGACTTGGGGCCACATGTCAATTCATTGGTAGTCAAGGATGCTCAGTAAATACTCATTCCCTCCCCCACCTTTATTCTCCTAGAACTTATACCTGGGTCCACCTGGGTTTCAGTGTTTGGCACCTGCTCCCACTGGATAGAACCTCTCTCTGTCCTAGTAATTAGCATCAGCTAAGCCATCCTGACCCAGACCTGAGATGCAACGTTGAGACAGGTTTTGCCTCAGAAGGGGTTACTTCAGAAGAGGCAGGTCAGAGAGAGGGACGAATCAGCACAGGAGAAAGGGGAGTGAATGATAAAAGCAGCGAGGATATTCTTGTTCTCAGGCAACTTTCCTTTCTCTTACCACCTGCCTGATGGGAATTGATGTGCTGGGATGTGTTTACTTTTCCCATTTGGAAGGCAGGGAGACAGCCTACTTCAGTTTGTCCCCTTGAAGAGCTGGAGCCCAGCTCCTGGCAGGTGGAGGGGTAGCAGAACTTAGGCCCGCCTTTGCCTCTGAGTCCACATGCAGTGGTTAAGGTTTGCTCACCACAGGCCCAAGAGTCTCTCCAGGAAGCTAATCTGAATCCATTTCAGCTTGACTTATTTGCCTCCCCAGGCTCAGTGGGCCATCCTGCCTCTCCAGTTAATCACTTGGTGATCTCCCAGGATTCAGAGAGGGCTGGCGGGGTGTGTTGCCCCCTTGAGATTTCAGAATACCCAGGCAAGGACGGGGAAGAGAGTGGGGACATCTGGTCACCTAGAGTGACTCTGTGACACCGCAGCCCCACCCACAGCACCCCAGTCACGTCCCATCCAAGAGTCACAAACAAACTGAACACTTGTTTTCGCGGTACTCTTGTTTCAGCAACAGTGTTTTACCTATGCTTATGTGGCCAGAATAGAATGGTTTATTTTCCTCTGATAATTACAATTTTTGCTTAGTGTACACATATAAAATGGAAAGGGTTTTTGGTTAATAACATTGTGAAAGTCATGGATAGGCTAGCTTTCATTTTTCTGGAGCCCTCATCTCCTTTCAAAGTGAATCTTAGGCTTCTTAGTCCCATGAGTTTATTGATGTCTTTTTCAAAAAATCAGTTCCACTTCTCCTTCACAGCCTGGCACTAAAGGTGCAGGAACGGAGAGAGGCAGCCCTGGGGACCTCCTGCCCAGGTGGCACTCGGGTAGGGCCTTCCGCATCCCATCTCCGCCTGAGTGGGGGAGGGATCCTGGCACCAGCTCCAGGTACTCCCCTGCTGTGGTTTCTCTCCTGGGGCTGTGCTCCCCGTCCAGAGTTCTGTTTGACGTCGTGTGTTCCTTTTCTGAGGCCTGGAGGCTTGGAGAGAGAGCTCTGTTCTTGAGCTTCTGAAAACCTGGGGTATAAACTATTACCTTTCCTCTGACCTCCTTGACCTTGAATCTGTGCTGCGGCCAGAAACATGTGCAGCCACCTGGCTTCATCCGTAAGGGATGTACCTTCTGTCCCAGCAGCGGTGGCCCCTGTTCTCCCAAAGGCTCCCAGCTGGTGACCGCCCTATGCCACCTCCCCAAGCCAGATCATCTGTCACTGTCCCTGAGGCTGTTTATAAATAAGAGGTCACACCTTCCAGCAGAACTGCCTTATTGCAGCAGGAGAGGCCAGCAGTGGTTTAGATATGGGCACTGAGTGTGTCCCGCCTCCGCATATTATGATTACTTTCCTTTCCTAGGTCTCTAACCTAGGTCACGTTTTTGGCTTCGTAATTACAGCTGCAGTTTGAATTTGGGGGAAATCTAATTCAGACATCAAAATATGACAGTAGTTCGTGGCCTATCACAGGTGACCACCATCGATGATAAATATCTGCAACATAATGATTGAAACAGAGAAAGAAAATGCAGTCTGCTTTGGTTAGTGAGCACCCATATTGTATACAGTGCTGTCCTTGAGTACACAGGCATGTGAAAGGGGAGATTTTGTCCTCAAGAATCTTGCAGGCTACTTTGTAGAATGAAAGATGACTGAGATTTTGAGCATGGGGAATTGTGTCAGTGATAATAATGATACAATAATAAGAGCTGAAATGTATTGAACCTTCCCATATGTCAGGCATGGTACTAAATATTTGCCATAATAATCTCCCCTAATTCCGCCAACAGCCACATGAAGTAGGTTTTACAAATAGGACAACTGAGGCTTTGAGTGGGCTCAGTCACTGGGCCATGGTCACAGATCTAATAAATGACAGCTAGGATGTGAATCCAGGTCTGTCTGGCTTCAGACACCTAATATTTCATCAAGATTCTGTTTTTTTTTCTGTCTCCCATTCTGAATGAAATACTGATGGTACTGTTGTCCCAAATATAGCCAGAGGACAGAAGGGGAAGCTTATTTGAAGAGGAAAATGACACCAAGTTAACACTTTCGAATTGGATGCGCAAGTCAGATAGTAAAGAGAAAATGTCTAGGCATCAGCCAGAACGGCTCTCAGGATGCAGAATGGCTGGGGATACCAGTGTAATTTAGGTGAGAGAGCCATTTGTGTAAGTGATGGTTGAAGCGGCAAGACTATAGGCCCTTACAGAGCGAGGAGTCCAAGACAAGGATTCATCCCACATCTTGGTGGAGTGGGGGGTGTTTCCCAAATATCTTACTTGGAACTCCCCTGGTGATCTTAATAATTTCCAGGCCCTGTGACCAAGATCCCCTTCTCCGCTGTTGCTGCCCTGATAGTGGTCATTTTTCCCACCTCAGGTGAACTAAACACCTCCCCTCCTGCCACTTCTCGGTCCTACCTCATCTCATGCATTATCATCCAGCACCTATCTGGCTATCACAAATTCTTCCTTTCTCCTGACACAGGTATCGAATGCCCCAGAGGAGCCCGGAACCTCCCAGGCTTGGTGCAGGAAGGGGAGCCATTCAGTGAGGAGGCAACACTTTTCACCAAGGAGCTGGTGCTGCAGCGAGAGGTAGAACGTCTTCCAGTTGCTTCTTGGATGAGGAGGGCAGAGGGAGCGGGGCTCGCTCGGTCTGGTGTTTTCCTGCAGTGTCAGAGATCCATCTGCCCCTTTCTCTGGCGCTCCGCCTTCCATGTCCATGATCCATTCCATGTCTGCCCACATCCTGTTCCTGGAGCCCTGTTTCATTGACCAGCCACCCGCCAATTGCTCCTCACCCTGGGTGTCCTAGGATGAGGGGTGAACGCCGGCCTGCCCAGCCAGGATGCTGAGGCAGTGAGCTTTCAGCTCTGCGGTCTCCCCCTTGGTGAATCAGCCCAGAGCTGCCTGCCTCCAGCTGGATTTAGAAGCTTGACTAACCCTGTCAGGGGCCAATTTTCTTTGAACATTTATTTGTATCTTTGAGTAATTGCATTTTCTGTAGCGGGTTTTCTGACTTAATTTAATTGTATTTCTGTTTCTGCCTGTTGGACTGGCTCTTGCAGGCAGGAGTGAGGCTGCTCAGCTGCCATGGTGCCCATCTACCTGCTAATTTCTATCAAGTCATAGTCCACAGATCCATCTTCTTTCCAGGAGTATGCCTGTCACTCATTCTGCTAAGGGAGCACAAAAAAGGAACAGTGGGGAGTGTGCTGGACTCAGGCTTAGGGTTTTAGATCTGCCTTTTTCCTTTTTTTTTTTTTTTCCTAAGCAATCAAATCCACAGGGTACCTCCTGCTTTAATGCAATATCATATTTCATAACAGTGAAAAAGATTATGGGGATCTTAGAGGTTATCTTGCTCATGGATCTTTGTAGATTCCTGGGAGCAGTAGTGTGGGCTTCTTTGGGATGTTAAGTGCTACAAATTCCTGTTTATAAGCTTTCACATCTCTCATTTTGATTTGAAATGTCAGTGAATATATTAAGGGGGGGGTGCTTAACCTCCTTAATTGTCTCATCAGTATCACATTGCCCTCTATTTCATGTGTGGTCAGATGCATTTGTTTGTGAAGAAGCAGTCCTCATGTTGGTATGCAAGGTGTCTTTCCCCGCTATTTTGCAACTGCACTGAGCAGGCTGAATTGTTATCAATTAAAGCTACCCCGCCCCCGTGTGCCAGAGAAGTGTTTCCAGAATCCAAACACTCCTGTTGTCAGTAGCTATTGACATTTTTGACCCTATAGGAATTGAGTTAAAGGGGCGGATATTTTAGAATTTCCCTCCTGCAATATCTCCTTTGAATAAGGAACTACAGAACTGTTTCATGTTGGAATAAGCAGGTGAGTCCACTCAAGGTCATGACTTGAAGACTTCACATAGGGAACAGGAACAGAGGTTGGTTTGCTCACTGGGCTGCGTGAGACATTTATTGGTAACATCCTCATCACTAACTCTCTTAGTCACGTTTCTGTTCATTTCTCACCAGTATCCTCTTCCTGTTGTTTCACGTCTTCTAAAGCTGCTTTCCCTTTTCTTTTTCAACTCTTGTTTCCCCAGCCGTTTTTCTTCCTGATCATGTTTCTGGCCCACTGTTGATATCCAAAAGCACAAGGGGGTCAAAGAGAATACTGACCACTGAAAGGAGTGAGTGGCCCAAAGCTCTTTTACTGTCTCATGGTTATTATGACCTTACCTTTGTCTGTGTACTTGCTGATATTTGATTGTTGAAAAAGCTAAAGTGTCTTCCCCATCCTCTTTGGTGCCCCTGGCACATAAGTGAGTTTGCAGATCCTTAGTCTTATCCATGGTTGATATTGATCTTAGTCGGAGTGTCCCAATCTTTCATACCTGTAAGTTGGGGATTCTTGATAGAGAAACATGGAGCCTTTCCACATTTTCTTAGCTGCTTGGATGATTGTTGGGCTGATGGGTTTGAAAGGTCTTTATCCAAAGGAAAGACAAGTATGGCCTAAACGGAGGATAACTTGGGATTCTGACTAAAGGAACCAGTTATAGCCAATTCTGGGCGGTTTCCTTCATAGTACATGAAAACTCCTTTCTGAACGGCATAGGAATGAAGAGGGGATTTTGTTTTGTTATAGGCTTGTTCACTAACTTTTGGCTGTATAGTATCCTCATTTTCATTTCAGGAGTTGTCCTGGGGAGTGTTTCTCTTTGCCATCTTCCCTCTACCCCACAAGAATGTAGAAATGCCCGACAGATTGGTCCTCAAGTGTAGAGATCCTTCCCACCCTTAGGAGAAGGGCCATGTGGTTGCCTGGGTGGCTGAGCATGGAACCACAGATGCGCACCGCATGAACTCTCACCTTCAGGGCAGTGTCCACTGAAGACTTCATTCCAGGAACTCTTCAGGGGCCAGACGCTGCTGTGATGGCCGCAGCTGAATTCCCTTGGTAATCACATTTAGCTCAGTAAAACAGGTGTGGTGATGTGATTGTCCTTGACCCTGCCACATCCCCCTCTTTATTTATATATATATATGTTTTATTATCTTACTTTGGGCCAGGAGTTCTCCAGCCCTTGCCTACCCTCCCCAGTCACTGCAAATCTGATCTCGGAAAGGAGCAGCACTCGGATCTTAGGTTGATTTCACAGCACCTCCTGGGGCCCATGTGTGACCCCACAGAGGGAGGCATGGCCATCAAGCTGGACTCAGGAATCCAGAGACTGGCTTGAGAAGGATGTGAAGTAGCCGAGGGGCTGTGTAATAAACACCCGAGCAGGGAGCAGACAGAAAGCTCAAGTGTGGGGCACCTGGCCCTGAAAAGTGTCTCCTTGTTTATGAGGTGCACTGTCTTAGCTTTGGGTCGATGGGGCAGGAAGTGCTGTCTCTTTCCCAGTTTCGGGTGGAGACAGACTTGCAGTTTTTGCATCCCATATCCTCTTGTGGAGCCTGCACTGTCACACACAAGACCCCTCTCATTTCAGCCAGCCCCTATTATCTTGAGACCTGAGCACCCTGCTTTGCCAAAGTGTGTTTTTACAATCACACTCATCAGGAGAGAGTGCCTGGCATTTTTGGCCATCACGCAGCTCATTTTCCTGAGTGTCTTCCTGCCACCTCTCATTGCCTTTCTGCCTTTTTTCCATCTTTCTTCATGGCCCTTCTCCTCAGCCATTGGTTCCTCTTGGCATTTGTTCCCTTCCCTGAGTCGGGACCCTGACAGGACTGTTCAGGTCAATGGTCTGGGTATCCTGGTGGTGCTGCCAGCTTCAGGGTATTAACTATAGGCTAGACACCACATTGTTACCAGGTTCTCTTTGTAATCTGGAAGGCCACAGCAACCCAGGAACTCTCAAAGGACTTCAGCTTTTCTTCCCAGCCTCGCTCATTTGGTGTAGAACAAGGGTGGGCAAGCCCGGCCCACTGCCAGTTTTGTAAATAAAGCTTTATTGAAACACAGCCACACTAACCTTTTTACATACTGTCTATGGGTCCTTGCATGTTATAACAGCAAGGTTGAGTGGTTCCAACAGGATATATGGTCCACAAAGCCTAGAATATTCACTATCTGTCTTTTTATCAAAAATGTTTGCTGACTGTACTATACAGGTTTTGCTGGGTTGGGTTTAAATGACTTGGTATAGCCCTGAAAATGGATTTGTTCTCATGTTCCCTGCCTTTGAGGCTGGACCACTTCTGGATCACACAACATGAGATCATTGTGTCCCACTGGACAGCATGTGCGTGGTGACACCCCCTCTGCCAGGCACCCCCCACCCCCCAAATACAGCTGCCTCTTTCAGGCAATTCCCTGCCACATTGCCAAGGACAGGAAGATCCGGTGTAATTTCCCAGATGGAGAATTGTGCCCGTTGCTAGCATCTTCCCAAAAGTAGTGGTGAGAGAGAGCATTAGATAACCAACCAGCCTAAAAGTGCAAACTCCGAGTTTTTCACACTCCAGTTATCATGTGGTCCTGGGTAAGTGATTCTTCTCTGCCTTGGCATTGCTGTCTAAAACATTGATCCAGCGATCCCAGGTCATCCTCTTCTTTCTGAAGCCCTTCCTGGGAGTTAAACAGTCGTTGGGGAATCTCTCCACACCTTTGTGTCAGAAGGCCAGCTAGCTAGCCCTCGCTCACTGATCCAGTGCTGCCGCTGCAGCAGGAGAACCTGCACTGTTAGAGAGGGAACCAGAAGGTATTATTAAAAGAGATCAGCACCACAGTTGAACCCTCTTCGCAGTTCCCAGCTGTAGGAAGGCAGTTCCCGGGGGGATGGGGGCATCATTTCCAAGGCCTTTCTGAATGACCCCTTTGTCCTGAGCTCTCTGAAATTGCCCTTTGCTGCCTCCTGGAAAATGACATCCTCATGCTGGAGAGTGAGCCGAAAGCTCCGGCTGCTGCCCTGACCTATTTCCCTTCTTCCTGCCGGCATCCACAGGGAGCCTGTCCCCCTGGGGAGCTCATTCTGCAGGCTGCAGTGGCCTGGGCTCAGTCCTGGATTCCCTCCCTCCCACTACCCCTGCTTTAAAAAAAAAAACAAACAAAAATACACAGAAGCATCGCAAGCAACTGTTGCTGTTTGAAGAGCAAGTATTTATGTTTTAGAAAAACGTGGGCTCAGCATTGAATATTGGTGTCTTATTTACAGAGGGGTTTGTCTGGGAAAGAAGAATACTTAATTTAAAAGGAAAGTGGTTCCTTCTTTGTTTTAGCACCAAATGTACTGCGTCTGATGAGAAAAAGGTAAACCGGTCTAAGCAGTTCACCACTGATCAAAATAGTGTTTTCCCTCATGCCCTGTCTTTCCCCCAGAGTTCTTGGTACCTGCCCTCTCTCCCTTCCTTTCCCATCTGTCCATGCAGGCCCCTTCCCTGTCCAGGAGACAAATGTGAGGAGGAACAGTAGCCACGTTACTTGTCTGAATCAAAGCGATGAGGATGGTTCAAGCCATGGGAAGTCTACCAGGGTGGAGGACACCCACTGCTCTCCAGCTCTCACCAGTGTCTTGCCCCTTGCTAGCCCTCGCTGAGCTGGAGAGAATAACCTGCTGGAAAAGCAAGCCAGCCATCCGGCAATGTTGCACTTATTTAGACAAAGACACCCTATTCTATATTATCTTTACCACTGCCCAGGAAAGAGCGAAGACAGCAAGCCAGCTTTCTAAAC